GAAATTATGAAGATTTCAACTGGACGTTATGTTAAAGCAACTTTTCTTGGGATCTTAGCTGTTGTTTACATTTTAATTAATTAAACATTTTATTATTATTATATGACAAAATGCTAACAAGCGATGTGAATTGATGAAAATGATAGGAATGGAACAGTTAAAATAATTTTCACAAAATAAATTATGTATTCTTTTCTGGGTATTATTAAAAATATATACATATACTGAAAGATTATTCATGATTTAAATTATTCAAAAACTGGAGCAAAAAAATGATTGTAGCATAAATCATAATTTATTAAATCGATTAAGAACAAATTAAAATGATCATTTACAATACTTGAAATAAACATTCCAAACAGTCTCTTTTTTTGAATGAAAATATTAAAAGCATACAGTGCAATGATCGAAGAATTTCGATTATATTTATATATAATTCGAATAATAATAATTGAAATCAAAAAGAAGAGAAAGTATTATTATATTCAAACAAAAAGTTTGCAAAATTTTAATTAAATTTAATAATCGAACGAAAAAGTGGAAAAGAAGAAATTGAAAGTGAAAAAATTTAGCGTAAAACAAGTGAATGTAATGGAGTTCCGATTTCCACTTGACATTCGCAGGCTGATACGGTATTGATTGATTCTTGCATCCATCGGGGAGATTTATGTGTTCCTAAATTACGGAGAACATTTATGCTGCGCATTACCGATCGACAGTTACCAAAACCTAAAATTTCTGATGAATGTCATCAAAAAATGATAAAATGTTTTTTTTTTCCCGAAGCATCGAAAAAATGAGCTGATATTATGGAAAAAATTATGCTTAAATGAATTTTCAATTGAGACTTATCAAACACCTCAGAAACAGCTTTGTTTTTTCTTGTTTAATCACCAAGACTGAAGTTTGATTAAGTTACCACATCTAATTAATTAATCTAAAATTAACGACACTTTATTTTAGTTTGACAATTTTTTGAACAAAGAAATGAAACTAAAAATGCAATCAAAGAATGATTAATTTAAATTAATATTATAATATTAATGATGAACCAAATATGGAAAAGAAAAAGATGAACTAATAAGAAAAATAAAAAGCGAAAGTAAGTATTTTTTGAATTTTGAAATTCCGAAATTTCAAATTGTTCACTTATTGAAGCTCTCGAAGCTCTCATCTCTTCTCCAAATATTATTAGAGAAAAAAAATAAAAGTATAATAAATAAATATGAAACCTGCAAGACATCCCTTATCATTCGTGTCACATGAAATTTCATTAAGTAAAACTGGAAAATAATTGGTCGGTAGTTTCCTCCATTGCCAACATAAATTACACAATCCGGTCCAACCCTGTGCAATTTCCTCACCTTTTTTGTAATTGCAACTTATCGTTATTGCCACACCCAATACTACAATTTTAGAAAGAAATGGAATATTTTTATTCCCATAATATAAATTATAAATTAAAATTCAACAAAATTAAATGCATCTTTTATTTCAAAATTTACAAAATTTTTCGAAATGAAAATAAAAGTGTAATTTTTTATACTAATAGAGAATTTTATGGAAATTATTCGATGTTTGGGAAGACAAAAAAAATGATATGAAGTAAAATAAGAAAAGAGAAATTGCAATAAGGATAATGCCATTTATAATTCAATTTTTTAGTCTCTTTTTTTGCTTTTCAAATGAATATTTCAATTTAATCAAGCATTTATTACATGTTTTTTTTTTGTAACAATTAATTAATTCAATTCAATTCAATGTTTGGATTCGATTACAAACACAATCTTTTAAGAGTACTTTCACAATTTCATCATTTTTCTCCTTCCTTCCTTATAATTAGAGTCGTACATTAAAAGAAACATTTCAGATAATTAATATGCAAGAAAAATATTCTATTTCAGCAAGAAGGGAAAAAATAATTAATTACCCATTAATTATCAAAAGATCACTTACATTTTTGCTTCGATTTTTTCCAAGTCCTCCGTTTTCGTATTTTTGGCTTCAATAATCCAATAAATTCCTCCATATGCGTTGGTAATTCTTTAATTTTGGTAATATTTCCCATTCCATCATTAACCTATTAACCTAATCAGTTTACAAAATTTAGCAAGTATTTTTATAAAAAATTCAAACATTTCTTTAAATTCATTAATTGGTTATGATTCAACGCATTGTTTTTTTTTCTCTTGCTTTTTTTGAAAGAAAAATTTTTTTCATCATATTTAATTTGGTTAATAAATGAAAATTTACTGCATTTCTTGATATCGACCGATTTCTCATACAGAATGATTCATCAATATCATCCGATAATTGAGAAACACTGCTACCAGCTGTCGGGAATTTATTATCATTTGCTCGTTGGAATGCATTTGTAATTAACAGTTTGCATGCTTGGCATTCTTTTCCATCGCATTTATATGTCTTTGGAGATTTATAAATCTGAAATTTCATTTAAATTTTATTTCATTATCTTTCAGCATCATTTGTAGCATTTGTTTGAATTAAAAATTATTATCAATTGCTCGATGAAACTCGAACTAAGCAATATTCTTTATCTTATCATTCTCGGAAATAACATATATTATAATTGTAAAAGTAATTTCAAGCGGAGAAAAAATGAGCAAAAGGGAATGAAAAAAAAAAAAAGCATAAAATGATATATCAAACAGAGCAAAAATGAGTTATTAAAAGGAAATGAATCATCCAGTCGATCGATAATGCCATCTTTGATCATTACATATCTTGTCAAATACATCTAAAAAATTTTCTCTCTCTCTTTTACTGTATATCAGTCAATAATATCAAAAACTCCTTTTGTTACCGCTTTTTGTGAAAGCAAAAATTGTGAAGTAGATTTCATCATGATGATATTTTCATCCGGTACCAACGGTAATGCATCTTCCGTCAAGCTTGACAGATCCGGAAATGTGTGCAAAGCTTCATCGATATTTGCAGCTTGCAGGCGATTATCATATGACAAACATTCGTTACTACCGGGTGGTTTTACGCACGGACATTGTTCGATCATCTGTGATTAAAATTATAATTAATATCGTTCTAATTTAAAATACTGAAAGTTTGAAAATGGCCAATATTTATAACAAATAGATAATATGAAAATTTCGCGTGTTACCTTTATTTTCATATATACACAAGTCAATTTAAAAAAAAAAATTCTGATCTAAACTTTTAAAATTAAACATATAGTGGGCAAAAAATGGAAGAAAAAATTTCGATATGTATATAATTTCAAAATCTTTTCTGCTATATTAGAGCAACAATAGATTCAAATTTTAATGCGACAATTAATAGAAATTCAGACTTGACAACACTGACAATAATGAAATTTAAATTTCAATATGATAATAATAAAATTCAAAATTTGCCACAGCAATCGAAAAATTCAAATTTCACAAATATTTTTTCATTAAAAAAGATTGATACCTTTTGCTCAAAATATCTATGACGGATACATAATGGACATTTGCCTCGGATGGAAATCGATTTCAGAAACGATAGCTGAAGAAGTAATACGAACCAAATTTGATCCATTTACACCACGTTACAGTTGTAATACAATATTCACATTTAATTATAAATTTTATGACCAATTCAAATATAAATAGTATTGTCCATACCACTAAATAATAATAATTAGAGAATTTGAAGATTTTTTAAAAAAGATAAAATATATAATCGCTAACAAAATGTCTAAAATAATGAACAATAGCAAACAAAATTTACAAGATCAATTAAATCTACTTAAAAGTATTAGAGAAGAAAAAGAATTAAACTTATAAAATGAAAAATAATTAAAAATGATCTATTTTGTGAAATTTTTCATGCTTAACATATATCTAACTGAAGATTTTACTGATCATCCTATTGTAGAATAGTTTAATTTTGAATAATTTCATCGAAAGAAAAACTTGTAATAAAAAGCAAAAGATTGAGAGCAATTAAGTTTCATTAGCATTAAATCTTTAGAATACATATGTGGCTGTTTGCAAAATGTATGACTTCAAAAATTTATTGACGTAAAAGACAGAAAAGAAAATCCGACTCAATGATTTATTCTTTTAATTTTAAATTAAATTTTCAGGAATTCTTCAGACCCGGAACATCATAAATCTTTTTTTTGTTTCACCTTAAATCGTCCTTTCAGCGATAAATCATCCAATTTTACCATGTCCCAAATACAATAAAAATATGAGCACAAAAAAAAATTTTTCAGTTACAAAATTTTCACAAATTCTTCAAATATAAAATATTAAAATTTATTTTAAAAATGGAAAAAGAATTAAAATTTTTGTTCTATATATATGATATAAATGTGTTTTTTNCAAAAAATTGTAAACTATTATACATTCATTTACCGTACTTCTTTAAAATAAATGCGCTACTGTAGTCACTACCGGTTTGTGTACGGTATTTTTATACGAATAAACTGAAAGAACATTCAAATGTCTCATCATTGTTTATTTATTTTGAAAATATGAGAAAGTATTTCATTGTTATTTTTCAATATTTTATTTAAACTTTGATAATAGAGTAACTGATATCGTATGATATTGATTTCTGCGTTTTTGAAGTATTTTTTTTTGTTAGAAAGAAAGTGAAACAGTAAATTTGTTTCGTTTCAATTTACTATTCACATATATATATGTTTTTACAATTTACTGTTTTCCTTTCTAACAAAAAAACCGATATCATACGATATCAGTCATTCCATTATCAATTTGTTTAAATAAAATATTGAAAAATAGCAATGAAACATTTTCTCATATTTTCAAAATAAACGAACAATAATGGAACATTTGAATGTTCTTTCAGTTTATTCGTATAAAAATGCCGTACACAAACCAATAGTGATTACAGTAGCACATTTATTTTAAAGAAGTACGGTAAATGAATGTATAATAGTTTACAATTTTTTTGTAAAAATACATTTAGACTGTCAAAAAATATATGATAACTGCATATTTTTATGCAAGCAATTAATCTTACAAAAATATAATATCGAAATACGATAATTGCTCATTTTTTACATCATCTTATGTTTCAGTATATGTATAACTCGAATAATTTTTCCATCCATTTGTTAATTAAACACAAATTTTGAAAGAGATAACAATAGAAATTTGATAAATTAGCAAAAATTGAATTTTACATAAAATCATTCTAAATAAAGAGAACTAGCAGATAAAGCAGATAAAATGATCGGATAAATCATCTGAAGTTAATTTAATACTGTAATGTCAGCATAGCAAAAGAATGTAAATATGAAATCGAGAAGTAATAAAGAAATTGCATTTCATAGCTCTTTCATAATTTAAATTTTGGAATTATAAAATTCTCTTAAACCTCGAAATTAGTTCAAATATTAGCGCAAATAAAAATATTTTAATACAATAGGAAATATTTGCCTACTCCAATATAAAATGTTTTTTGACAAATATTTGCCTATTCTCTGTTGGTTAAAGCCTATAATGTTTACAAATTTTAATTTTAAATTATTTTGATTCATATCAAAATTCATTTCTTAGATATCACTAATTATAACAAATTATGAGCAGCTAAAAAAGGCAATCATTAGGATAGTTAAGAGTTAAGAAAAAAAGTAGTTACTTTAGATTCATGGCATCAGTCATTCAAATTCATCTGATAATCTTGTGAAAACACCTGAATTACTCGAGTATTTCAGATAATCTCACGAAAGGAAAATGATTTATCAATTATAATGCTTGGTAGTTCGTTCCAGAAAAAGATTTTTCCTGATATACTTTCTACGCTTTTCTTCCATATTCATTGAATAAAAAAGAAAAAATTTTTTTCGATTGACTAATCAGAAAAAAAAATTGAAAAGCTGGTTGAAGTTGTTGAAACCCATACCTTTCTAGCGTAAGTTTCCAAAAATGAGAATATAATTTTTTGTTAAAATTACAATTGAACGCAACAATATTTATCATTAGAATTGGTAAGCAGTGGCAAAAAAATAAACAAAAAAATCAACTCATAAATTTTAAAGGAAAAAGATTGTACTTTTTCCTTATAAACTTCAAATAAAATTACGTTAATTTGTCAGAAAATCTAAATAAAATATAATTGCAAAAAAATTGCACTATTTTTTTGCTGTAAATTAAAAAAAAATGTTTAAAATTGATTTTAAACTTTATAAGAAATATTTGCATTTTCATGTGTAACCCATAAATTAAATGGGCTAAACACTAAGTTTAATAGTTTACAAAACAATAAAAAATTACAATACCTCAACAAATAATAAACAATAATAAGAAAAATTGTATTGGCGTAAACTAACATTATTAAAT